AACTTAGAGGAATGCATATAGAAGATAGCTAAGGAAATATCTCCAAAACATATGGTTGAGTGAAAAAGCATGAAGACCACAGTAAATAATACCATTTATATAAATAAAATATATTTCTACAAATACATATTAGATATGAATATAAGTTAGAAAATTCTGAACAGATATACACCAAGTTGATAGCAGTGAATAGACCTGGGAGGTGATTATAAGAGACTGAAATACTATAGATAATGAGACTGTATCCACATCTTACTTGTGTAATTAAAACTAAATTTTTTACAAAGGAAAAATATATGGACACAATGATTACAAATGTGAAATATGCATATAAAATATGACTAAGACAGGGCACCTGGGTGGCTCAGTTGGTTAGGCAACTGCCTTCGGTTCAGGTCATGATCCTGGAGTCCCAGGATCGAGTCCCGGGATCAAGTCCCGCATCGGGCTCCCTGCTCAGCGGGGAGCCTGCTTCTCCCTCTGACCCTCCCCCCTCTCATGTACTCTCTCTCTCATTCTCGCTCTCTCAAATAAATAAATTAATTAAAAAAAAATATGACTAAGACATGCACAATCATAAATGTAATTGTATAAGGGTGGTGGAATAGTTTTTTGGGGGATTTTTTTTTTTAAATATTTGAGAGAGAGAGAGAGAGAGAGAGAGAGCATGCATGCAAGTGGGGGGAGGGCACAGGGAGAGAATCTCAAGCAGACTCCCTGCTAAGCATGGAGCCTGACTTGGTTCCATCTCAGGACCCACGAGCCCATGACTTGAGCTGAAACCAAGAGTTAGACACTTAACCAACTTAGCAACCCAGGCACCCTGGAATGTTTTTAAATATATTACTATATTTAAATAGTAATGGAAATGGCGTGTACCTGGGCAGTCATGCGCCAACTATAACTCTATTATTATGGAAGGAAAGAACAGATTTTGACGGACAGATAGTAATACTGCCACACATCTCTAAACAATATGGCTGAATTTTGCCTGGTTTTGAACTTTAAATGAATGGAAACATACTATGTGATCCTTTTGTACCTGGCTTCATTTGTTTTGCTTATGCTCTTTGGAAAAAACTGTCTTAAACAATGTGTGCACAGAATATGGTAGAGGGGCGCCTGGGTGGCTCAGTCAGCTGACATCCAGCTCTTGATTTCGCCTCAGGTCATGATCTCAGGGTCCTGGGATAGAGCCCTGCACTGTGCTCCATGCTCAGTGGGGAGTTTGCTTGAGGATTCTCTCTCCCCCTCTGCCCTTCCCCTGGCTCATGCTTTCTTTCTTTCTCCCAAATAAATAAATAAATCTTAAAAAAAAAAAAGAAAAGAATATGGTACAGAAAGAAATGCTCAGGCTGAGACTTATGCTACCTGAGCTATAGAGCCCCAGAATTACAACTTCACTAGTAAATCACACCTTCTAGACTCCTCCTTTTCCTCATACACAAATAAAGAGTTCATTAATGTGTTCTCTTAATCTGTGATTGATCATGCTACCTAATCATCTTTAGTCAATTATGTTTCCACAGCTTTTATCATGAATTTGCCCTGAGCCAGTAATTCCACTAACTCACTTTTCCCCCAGAGCTCCTTCTCCAGCAACACTGGTAATGAACATTTGCATGATAGCTGCTTGGTGTACAGGGTATCTTTGAGATCCAGCAAGCACAGCAACATTAACTGGTTTGAACTTAGGCCCTTATGACCCTGGCCTCATTAACACTATATTCTAACTAAGCTAACTTAGCAAAGACTCTACATATAAAATATTTAAACTGATTACTAAGCGATTTGCTTCTAAGAGAATATTTCACAGATATTTTTCCTTCTGGTAACAGTGGTTGTCTCTGGATTCAGGAACTGAGATGAGGAGGAGAAAGGTGAAAGGGAAGCATACTTTTTGTGATGGTTTTAAGATATGTCCACAAATTCTTTGATAGTTCTCTCTCCAAAAGGTGGGGCCTAATTTCCCTCTCCATAGGGTAGGCTGTATATGGTGGCTCACTTCTACTGAACAGAAAGTGGTGAAAATGTAGGTGACTTATGAGGCTAGGTCATAAAAACACTGAGGCCTCCGTGTGTGTGTGTGTGTGTGTGTGTGTGTGTGTGTGTGTGTGCGTGCACACGAGCACGTACACATGCCCGTCTGTATGTCTCATCACTGACAGAAGCTAGTAGCCATGTCATGAAGACACTCAGGCAGCCTTAAAAAGAGGTCTATAAAGTGAAGAACTGAGATCTCTGTCAAAAGCTGGTGAGGAACTGAGACCTACCAAGAGCCATCTGAGTCAGCCATGCTAGAAGTGATTCTTTCAGCCTCAGTCAAGCCTTTGTATGACTACATCTTCAACCAACAGACTGAATACAATCTCATGCAAGCCAAACCAGAACCATCCAACTAAATTACTCCTAGATCTCTGACCCACACAAACTATACAATAAATATTTATTATTATTTTAAGTCACACAGTTTGTTTTTAAGTTTATTTAGGTTTTTTAGTAATCTCTACACCCAAAGTGAGCTGTGTGTTGTACCAACTGAGCCAGCCAGGCACCCCATAAGATACTAAGTTGTTCTTTTTTTAATATTTTATTTATTTATTTTAGAGAAAGAGAGAAAGAGCGCATGGGTGGGGGTAGGAGCAGAGGGAGAGGAAGAGAATCTCAAGCAGACTCCACACTGAGCATGGAGCCTGATGCAGGGCTCAATCTCACAACCCCTGAGATCATGACCTGAGCCAAAACCAAGAGTCAGACACTTAACCAACTGAGCCACCCAGGCACTCCCATATACTAAGTTTTGAGGTAATTCATTACATAGACAATAGATAATTAATACACTGATATTTTTTTTTACTTTTGTTTTTGGTGCCATATATACATACCATCTAGTTTCAAAAATAATTAGCTTTAAAAACCTCTTTCCCAAACACAATTTTCTCACTCAAATTATACTAGCTTCTCTAAATTAATAGAGCCCATTTTTGGAAATGTTCTCTGTTAAAGACCTCCTCCCCTCAAAAACACAGTAAGAACTACAAACTAGTACTCTTTTAGACTCTACTAGAAATATCTTCTTACGAGTACATGAAGATCCTGGGCATGCTATCATGTTTATCAGGTGGTGCAAAAGATTAATGTATCAGGGCCAACAGTTGTGCAATATACAACTGAGTGCAAATGCAATCTCAATGGTTCAAAATGAGCTCGCTGGCACTTTAAGGCTCAACTTTCACCTTAGAATAAAACATATAATGAAGAAGTCATTTTCAACCACACTCACAAAAGGAGCATGTTACTGCTCCAAGTTGCTCTTTTTTTAACCCAAGTTTTATAGGTTTAAATGGACAGTGCTCCTCAAATTAATCTTAAAGGATGTGCCTATTTAATTTTTTTTTAAGGGGGGGTGGTGGGCAGAGGGAAAGGGAGAGAGAGAATCCTAAGCAGGCTCCATGCCTAGCATGGAACCCGACACAGGGCTCAATCTCACAACCCTGAGATCATGGCCTGAGCCGAAATCAAGAGTTGGACCCAGACGCCCCATGGATTTTCCTATTTAATTTCAATCTAGCAACTATTTTCCTTCCATGAACTAGCAACGAAGAGAAATCAATGGAAATAAAACAAAACCAACTTTTAAGGAACAACATGTCACAAAATAGTGTAATGATGAAAAATTAAACATAAAATCTTTTGTGAAGTGCATTAAATGAAGCTGGCTTGTGACACTGTGTCATAAGAGTTCTATCAAGAGGTATACAGAGGGGTGCCTGGCTGGCTCAGTCAGTAGAGCTCTTGATCTCAGGTGGTAAGTTCAAGCCCAACACTGGGTGTAGAGATTACTTAAAAATAAACAACAGGGTGCCTGGGTGGCTCAGTCGTTAAGCATCTGCCTTCGGCTCAGGTCATGGTCCCAGGGTCCTGAGATCGAGTCCCACATCGGGCTCCCTCCTCAGCAGGAAGCCTCCTTCTCCCTCTCCCACTCCCCCTGCTTGTGTTCCCTCTCTCACTGTGTCTCTCTCTGTCATATAAATAAATAAATAATCTTTAAAAATAAATAAACAACAACAACAAAAGAAGTATACAGAAATTTAATCAATAATCTAAGGAATGAGAGCAGGGAATTTCAATAAATGACTTTGCCTACATACACTAATCATTTAGTTTTAGTTCAATTGTTTGATAAGTGGGTCATATTAATTCAAAATTGTTAGGTATTAAATGGCTCTCTCACTTACTAGCTGTATGACCTTGAACAAGTTGCTTAACTTCTCTGTCTCAGTTTTCTCATCTGCTAAATAAGATAATAGTTCTATGGCATAAGGTGGTTGTAACAAACTGGGTAATTCACAAGCATAAAAGCACACAGTAAACAGTCAACAGTACTCAATAGTAGTAGTATTAGTAGACTATGTATATTTGCAAAGCAATATTCAGAAAGTATTTAGTTTTAGTAAGTCTAATTTTATTACTGAAGTGATCAGGTGAAAAACAGTTGATGGGGGGGAAAAATGCACCAAAAGAGAAGGGAAAGTTAAAAAATCCTAGATTTCAAGCCCACTAAATTTAATAATATATAGATTTGACAAATGTATTCATCAAATGTCAAGTCATGTATGATTAATGACCACCTAGCTCTCAACATTCTTGAGCTATCCAGAACTCGGTGGTTTTTATAAGGAACCTGAAAGTAAAATTGATCCTTTAAAGCATGATTTGATCAAGACTCTGTGACAAAGGGATAAAATGATTCTAGTAAGTAAAAAAAAAACAAGAAGAACAAAAATAAAGAAGGGAATGTATTTTGGCTAATACTTTTAAGTCTTCCCTTAACTATACCCCACCTTCTTGTTTTTGTTGTTTTTTTAACCACATTAGTTAACTGGCTTAAAAACACCATTTGCTAAAATACTTTTAAAAGCTGAAGACAGGGAGAGGCACAAATGATCAACTTAGTGAAGTAGTTAAACACATTCACAAAGCCACTGATAAACTCTTACCACCATAAAATCGAAGCATACAGCCAAGGTCAGGATCTGTTGCCTCTTCCTGTATGCGCACAGGGTCATCAAAGCCCAGCCTGGATAAGTAATCATAAACAATCTGCAGAGGTCGTTCAGTAGGTTCCAGTCTCCTGCTTACACAATTCAAAAGAGAAGTATTTAGTAAGAAATAAAAATGCTTCATTTAATTTTTAAAATTTTTTAATATGTTCTAGATTTTTACTTCTCTATCAAGATTTTCTTTACTATCATATGATACAACTAATCTAAACAGAAGTGCTCAGAGGTTTTGGTCTCAGGACCCCTCTTTAGTCTTTGACGACCCCCAAAGAGCTTTTGTTTACATGGGGTCTATCTATTGGTATTTACTGAATGAGAAGCTCAAACTAATAATTTCCAAATAATGGGGATACGTGGGTGGCTCAGTCGGTTAAGCGTCTGCCTTCGGCTCAGGTCATGATCCCAGGGTCCTGGGAACCAGCCCCACGTGGATCCCTGCTTAGTGAGGAGTCTGCTTCTCCCTCTCCTTCTGCCCCTCCCTCCTGCTCATGCTCTCTCTCTCTCTCTCAAATATAATCCTTTAAAAAAAAAGAATTTCCAAATATTTGTTCATTTTTTAAAAACAATAAACCCATTATATGATAATATAAATAATAGTTTTTGAAAAATATATTTTCCAAAATCATACAAATTTAGTGAGGAGAATGGCAATTTTAATGTAGGATGGCTAGATTCTCAGATCTGCTTCCACATTCAGTCTGTTGTGTAACATGGTATGTAGCCTCTAGAACACCCCACTATAACTTGTGAGAGACTGAGAGTGAAAAAGAAAATTAATGGGGCGCCTGGGTGGCTCAGTCGTTGGGCGTCTGCCTTCGGCTCAGGTCATGATTCCAGGTCCTGGGATCGAGCCCCGCATCGGGCTCCCTGCTTGGCGGGAAGCCTGCTTCTCCCTCTCTCACTCCCCCCTGCTTGTGTTCCCTCTCTCGCTGTGTCTCTCTCTGTCAAATAAATAAATAAAATCTTAAAAAAAAAAAAAAAAAGAAAAAGAAAATTAATATCTTACTATTATCATGAAATACTTGTGACCTCATGTACTTCTTCAAAGATTCTCAGGGACCTCCACAGGGTGCTTTGAGAACCTCTGGCCCAAACTTACAAGCAGTGAAATGATGAAATATAAAAGATTACACTTGGCCATAAGTGATTTCATATAAGCTGCCCACATAATCAGAGATGCAGTCTTTGAATTGTCTACTGTGTCTCAGGTACTATGTATTTCTACTGGCTTCAGAGATGATTCTTGCATAAAAATTAGGAGTGAATAACTCCCCAGAAATCATTCTACCATAAGGTCCCAAATGAAAGCTAAATTAAAGTCAGAATATCTAGTAATTATTTGTGGCCTCTGGGGACACTGCACATTTTAAATCATATAGACCTAAAACACTGAAAATATTTAAATATTAAAAATATTTTAAAAACAAAAATCTTCCATGCATATTTTGATAGAAAGGACTACATCAGTAATAACACAAGACAGCCCTTTTACAATTGTTTTATCAGAAAGTAAACAGTTATAAATACAGTCACTGAGAGCACAGGCTCCAAAAGTCAGACTGCCTGGGTCTGAGTCTCAGTTCTGCCACTTGGCAGCTGCATGCCCTTGGACAAATTATTCAACCCGTCTTAAATTCCTCTTCAGTATAATGGGAATAACAGTAGTACCCAACTCACAGAGTTGTTATTAAATTTATTTACTTATAAGATATTATACAGTAAGTAAAGTGTTTAGCAAAACATCTCATATATAGTAGTGTTCAGTAACATACTGACGACTATTATTCAAAAAAATTCGTAGGACAGGAGTCAAATTTTAATTAGAATAAAAATAGAATATTTCCCCCATCTGAAACAACAACCAAGAAACAAGTATAGGAAAGCATGTGTGTGCTCAAAAGGTCTTGAGGAGGGGCGCCTGGGTGGCTCAGTTGGTTAAACACCTGCCTTTGGCTCAGGTCATGATCTCAGGGTCCTGGGAGCCACGCTCCCTGCTCAGCAGGGAGTCTACTTCTCCCTCTCCCTCTGTTCCTCCCACCCACCCCGCTCATGCTCATGCTATCTTTCTCTCTCTCTCATAAAAAAATAAAACCTTTTAAAGGTTCGTCTTTATGTCTTAAAAGGATTCTGTTTAGAAAACTTAAGGAGCGCCTGGCTGGTTCAGTCGGTAGAGTGTGTAACTCTTGATCTCAGGGTCATGAGTTCGAGTCCCACTTGGGTGTAGAGATGACTTAAAAATAAGACCTTTAAAAAAAATAAAAGAGGGGCACCTGGGTGGCTCAGTTGGTTAAGCATTTGCCTTCAGCTCAGGTCATGATCCAGGGTCCTGGGATTGAGCCCCACATCGGGCTCCCTGCTCAGCAGGGAGTCTGCTTCTCCCTCTCCCTCTGCCTCTCCCCCTCCTTGTGCTCGCTCCGTCTCAAATGAATAAATAAAATCTTTAAAAAATAAAAAATAAATAAATAAAAAGAAAAATAAAGAAAACTTAAGAATTGTATTAATTAGAAGAAACATGAAACACCTCCCATCGTTGCAAAAATATATGAAGGACTTCTGTGTTTTATGGTGAAAGGAGTAGAAAATACTGTTGGCAGTAAGATTTAAGTAAAAATAACATGAAATAGTAATACTACAAAGCTGAATGTAAACAACTACCAAAATTGTAGAGGCTGCTTTTAGGCAACAGGCCTGAGCAATGGAAACTTGAGCAAGGCAAAAGGGCCCACAGCAACTACCAAGCTGACACAAACCGGCTCATTAAGCCACAGGTCCTAACCAACCAATGGGTCACTTACAACCAGGCATAGTTCTTAAGATTACCAAACAAGGTGTAATTCCATACATCTCATATTCTCTCATACCAACTATAACCTCTCACCACCACCTTGTGGCAGACAGTCTCTCCTTTGCTGTCCTGTCCACTGCTCCCTTGCAGTGTACTCAATAAACTTCTACCTCTTCTGCTCTGCCTTGGGTGAATTCTTTCATGGGCCGCACCACCAGCCCCCATCCAATCAGAACGCCCCACAAAAAATGATAATTTAGAAATGTAAATCATACTGATGAGCACAAAAACGCAAAAATAAAACAACTTGGCCCCTCCTGACTGCTCAGTGCAGACTTTTACCCATAAACTCAGAAATACCACACGAGGAATGACCAAAGAACTAAAACCCTACTAAGACAAATAAATAGTGAATTTAATAGAAATAGAAAATAAACCTTTCAGAATAAAAACATCATCAGTTACAACTCATCTCAAATAAAATAAAATAAAATAAAAATTCACAAAGGTTTATAGTGATAATAGGTACTTTCCCAGTACAGTGGTAGAATTCTTCTAAGGAGGATGTATTGTAAGAGAGACTTCTAATAAGCTGTATTCTGGAGGGGTCAATTAGCCATGTAATCTGAACACTGAAGGATTAACTTGAAGACAAGGGCATAAAGAGCTATCTCTATCTTCCAGTGTCAAGAAGGATTAGACTTACTCTGGATCACTCCAAAGAATGGGACTAGGAACAACAAAAAGTTGCTCAGGTAAACCTGGATCAGAAATGGGGAAGAACTTTAATAATTAGAGATGTCCAATAATGAAACAGGCTGCCTCTCAAAATAGCTCATGAAAGCTAGAAAGCCATCTGTCACAGAAATTTTAGATAAGAGTCTGCTGAAAGATGAGGGGCATTTGGGTGGCTCAGTCAGTAATGCATCCAACTCTTGATCTCAGCTGGAGTCTTGATCTCAAGGTCGCGAGTTCAGGCTCCTCATTGGGCTCCACACTGTGTGTGGAACCTACTTAAAAAAATAAAAAAATAAAAGTATCAGGTTGGGCCAGATGATCTTCAGGTTCTTTTAGAACTCAAGGGTCTATGAGGTATCCAAGACACCTTCCTAATATAATGTACATTCTACCTAAATCTTGCTATCATTTTTAGATACATAGTTCAATGTAGTTAAATATCATAATTCCATATAATGATCACATAGCCAGGACCAACAAATAATACTTTCAGACTAAATCTCACTAGCTCAATTTTTCAATTTCTGTCTAGAAAACCAAGAGAAATGTAAACATCCTAATTCTGATGTATTTTACATGATCAAATTTCCTTCCTAAAGAGGCGCTGTAGATTCTGAAACCCTCTTTATACGTTTCCACCTAAGGAAAGTATTTTTCCTGGTAGGAGAAAAAAAAAAATCAGGAGAACCTCAACATCTGCTCTTATTAATTTAGCATAAATGAGTAAACAAGAAATATTTCAAGAACTGCAAAAACAAGTAAAAAGAGGGATTAATTCCATCTCTTGGGGTGCCTGGGTGGCTCAGTCGGTTAAGCGTCTGCCTTCGGCTCAGGTCATGATCCCAGGATCTTGGGACTGAGCCCCAGGGCGGGCTCCCTCCTTGGTGGGGAGCCTGATTCTCCCTCTACCACTCCCCCTGCTTGTGCTCTGTCTGTCAAATAACTAAAATCTTAAAAAACAAACAAACAACTCAATCTCTGGCTATATACAAAGGTAAAATTTGCAAACGTTAAGATCAATAATACAGATAATACAAACAGCAATAATAAGGATACTTAAATGAATGTCTACTCCATGCCTAACACTATGCTGAAAAGTGCTTAACATTTTATAAAGCTAGGCCTATTTTGCAAATAAGGAAAACTGAGACTCAGTCACACAATTAGTACATAGTGGCATCAAGGTTTGTTGGTTTCATTACAAATCCTAGTTTCTTTTAGGTAAACCACTTTATTTTATATAGTTAATTTATGCAGAAGAGAGCTCAAAACACTTCATATGTTAACTTACACCAAAGAACCTAGAAAGTTATGTCTTAAAATTACTGTATTCCAGGCTAATACACCATCATTTGAAAGATACACTATTTTGTGTGCATCATTGTATAATACAGAATCTTATACTAGTCTTCGTCCCTGATTCTTTTTTTTTAAGGTTTTATTCTTTTTAAAAATTTTTTTTATGATGTTATGTTAATCACCATACGTTACATCATTAGTTTTTGATGTAGTGTCTCAAGATTCATTGTTTGCGTATAACACCCAGGG